GGCTACAGTCCGTGCTGCCTGGTGCAAGCAGGGGGTGGTAGAAAGGGAGGACTCTGGGCCAGCCCCTGCCCTCCTGCTGGCTCGTTCCTGCAGATGCCAGGGGCCACCTGGGTTTGACACATGCATTCCCCAGGGCTGCGCCTGGCCCCTGCTGTCCAGGTCCACCTCCAAGGTCTTTCCTGCATCAGGTTATTCGGCAACAGTCAAGGGCATGCCATAAAGACACAAGCCCTGGGGAAAGGGTTTGATTTCACAGGGTGGGCGGCCAGTTGCTGTCCCCCACATACCCTGGTCCAGAGCTCAGAGAACTGGCTGGGCAAGGGGGCAGGCGGGCACCTCTGCTTTCCTCTACCCCGTTCCTGGGCACCCCCCAGCACCCTTCCCTGGCCAGGTTTGCTCCCCTGTTGTGTCCTGCCTGACTTACAAGCTCCCTTAGGGACGAGTGGGATTTCTGGGCGCTACTGTGCACAAGCTAAATTGTCACCAACAGGCACATTTAGCAGCTCTGAGCTGCCAGGAGCCTCCCGTTTGCTAGAGGATGGAGGATCAGGCCCTTAGAAGCACCCCGAGCTGAACCACCTTCCCCTCCCGAATACAGGACCGCTCCACGAAGCCTTGTCACGACACAGCACCACAGTCCCGGTCAGACCACAAGCAGCCCAAGAGTTTAAGAAACACCGGCCGAGATGAGAAAGCCGGCGATTCCTCCAGCAACTCGGGCCCGCTTGAAAACCCAGGGGCCCGGGAGCCACTCGAACGGCAGAGAGAGGCAGGAACACATTGAGAGCTTGCATCCCGCCGCCCCCCCCCCTCCTTTTTTAACCCAATTCTGCTGGCATTGTTGGGGCTTGTGTGAGAATTTGTCAGGATTTGGAGACATTTTGAGTTAATGAGATGGCATTATCCCGGCCAAATGAAAAAGAAAATGTGTATAATAATAAATCAGGGCATCTGCTGGACACACAAAGGGCTGTGCAGAGCAGGTGTGCATCTTAATGAGGGGACGGCAGCTGCTGCGTGCCCCGCCGGCCAATAAACTGCCAGGGCTGCCTGGGGTGGGCAGGGGGGGTGCAGCTCGGGGAACGGCGAGAGAAGTGGACTTCTGGGTGGCTGCACTGCATCCCTGCGCTGGGGAATTCAAACAGGCTGGGTTTGAAGCCTGCTGTTCTGATGAGAGAGGCCTTTGTGCCGCGCTCCCCTCCTCTCCATCCCAGAGGGCCGGCGGAGGCACGCCGAGTGTAAGCTGCTAACGTGTGCAGTCATCTGTTAAAAAACCACCATTTTTTCCTCCCCCCCACCACAACCACCCCCGTTTTTTTCTTTTTTTAAACAATCCTCCGAGCTTTTGCAGTTGCTTGCAACAAGTGTCGAGAAGCCTCGGCTGCATTCAGCCTGGCCAGGAAGAGACAAAAACCCCGATGCGCTGTGCATGAAAGAGAGAGAGGGAGGAAAATGAGGAAGGGGGGAGAAAAGAAAATAGACGGTCGCTAGGAAAAGGCTGTGAAACAGTCTCCGGCTCGCCTAGCGGTGCCTTCATGTGCACGACTCCCGCAGTGCCTCAGTGGGGCTGGGGGGGCGTGGAGGATTTTGTAGCTCGGGATGAACTGAATTGCAGCGACCAATTCATCCTAAGAGTCATCTTGGAAACTAGCTTCCTGCTACCACCAGCCGCCCTCCCCTTGGCACTCAACTCAGTCCCGGGGTTAACTGCATCAGGAGGGATTTCGGTCTCGCCGGTGCCCGGTAATTCTGCAACTGGGATTCTGCGCCATGCGTGGCAGGGCTGGGTTGGGGTTTTTAATAAGGCTTACAGGAAAACCCCTGGGAGAAGAGCCCACCCACGCAATTAGCTTTCGGACCATTTCCAGTTTCGATTCTCGTTAGCAGCATCTCAAGACGCCGGGGCCAGACAAATTCAGGCCAGAAATGTCACAAGGTTTTGAAAGCGGGGGTGTTAATTAGCTACCTTGGGGCGCGAGAGAGCCTGTCATCGGCAGGCCTCAGCTCAAGTTTTGATGTGCTTCTAAAGGAGCGGCTCTGGCTCCATCGGCAGTTCGGGGCTTGATGCAGGAGCCACCTGATGCAATCCAGTGGCCTGCAACAGGCAGAAGGGTCCCGGTTGGTCCTAAAC